CCAAGAGAAAACTGTTTCTAAGGCACTCCATAATACTGCAGTTTGTCCCAGGTACTGATGGTCCCCTCTGTGTGTGTGTGTGTGTCACAAAATAATTTGGAAGTGTCATTTTGACAACAGGAAGTCTGATAAAGTCTGGGGGTGGCAGTGTCTCCAGAGAACATCCTGCCGTCAACAGACATCAACCCTGATCTACATTCACTTTTTCAAATGCCAACATATTTAAATGCAGATTCAAAACTGCTCCTGTAAAAACATAAGGGTTGAGACTTTGATTAAAAAATAAAATTGATCTAAGATTTATAAATAAACAAGGCATAAAAACTCAACTAAATAATAAAAAAATAATTAAATAAAAAAAAGCCTTTGCTGCCAGAGCCTGGCCACGTTGGGGATTTCCACGTTTGTAAAGAAAATCCCTAGCTTGGAGTCAAACATTTTAAAAGGAGAGTTTTCAAATAAAAAACACTTTAAACAAGTTTGACATCCTGAGAGACAAAATGATTAACTGGGGATTTTCTTTTTTTTCTTTTTTTTAAATTCTTCACAACTTGGTAAGTCATGAAATATGAACAGCTGCTCTCCAGAAGGATTTTAACTTCAATTAATTCTTATTCTAGTTTATACTTCTGTGATGCATAGACCCTCATTTATGTCACTGCAGTTTTTGAATCTAATAGAATGTTTAATATTAAGATAAATATATTACAGTCCTCTGGATGAAGAGGGGCAGCAGTCACAGCCATTGTTTCATGGCAAGAACGTCAACGTCAGTTTGATCGTCTTCTAGTTCTATGGATCTTCTTGAAATATTTGTTTTTTTCCATGTTTAAAAAAACTTGCACATCACAGAAAGAAACAGATTCAACAATGGTAAATTATGTTATGTTAGAATGTGAAGAACCAAACGTTACATCAGATGATTCACCGTGTCTTTTATTTTAAGTTGCCAGAGGTCGTCGCACAAAATACATGTCTTTTTTCACACTCACTGAGCCTCGTGGGTTGTTAAATATTAAATTCCATTACATTCCACAAATTTAGCCTTTGGTTCCTTCTTAAATCAACCTTTGACTGCTACAGCCTTGACCAACTTATAAAGTAAAAAAAAACAAAAAAAACCACACCGTCTCCATAAACAACATCATCAAGTCATGCACATTAGCACATCCTGTAGGAGAAAGACAACAATCACCACACAAGTCGTCAAAGCCTGGAACACAACTTTTTAGTTCCTTAAAAACATTTTTTTTGTTAATTCTTTTTTCAAACTGTATGGTAAAAAAAAACTTTTTTTTTCTTTACATAAAAATCTGTTTCGTTCTGTTAGTCCAACCCACATAGACAGCATCAGGTCAGAATGAGGTGAAGACATTGTGTAAAACATTTCCAACTTATTAATTCATTGCCCCAAGATTTAATGCTGCTGAGGAGGGAAATAAAACAGACTCTACCTGTGGAAATGAAAAAGTTTCAAGTGTGGGCAGTACTGAACATGGACAACTTAGACATAACTATGGAAAAAAACAAAAACATCTCCCTGCATTATATATTAATTAGGGATGTCCGACAATATCATCCGACTGATATTATTGGCCTGATATTAGCATATTATGTAATATCTGTAAAAATTGTCATCTGATAATAATAACGCAGTGCCTGGGCTTTTGCCAAATGATGTGTGACCTAAAAATAGTTTTGGGGATAAACGGCTGTATATTAAAGTGAAAGTCACTAGATGGCAGCATTGCAGCTCATTTAGTTAATCTCAAACTCATACAGTGGTTTGTACAGATAAATAAATAAATATTACCAGGTCTGCATCGGTATCAGTTAATATTGGTTAATATTGTTCTGCTTGTATAAGTGATGGACTACACCATTGTTTCCCAAAGACTGGGTCGTGACCCTCAGGTGGGTCACTAGAGATTTTTTTTGGTGTCGTCTCGCATCATGTTTCCCAGGAGTTTACAAATAACGTCTTTTGACTTGTGTCACGAAGGTTTGTGAGGTTTGAAATATGGGTCCCCAGAAAAAAAGTTTGGGAAAAACTGGACTACACCACATTTACAGCCCACCCCCCATTTTGACCCCGTAGTTTGTAGTTTTGAAGGCAGACATTTACCTACATCATGTATCTCCTGCTTGTTTTTTTTTTTAAGAGATTAAGAGATAAACAAAAATGATGATGTCACTGCGTTGTTTTTTTTTAATGTGGTGTGTTATTTAAAGCATTTTATTCAAGTGCAGGTTAAAGAAATGTCACTTCCATCCTTTAATCTGACAAGCATGGTCTCATCTCTATTTCTAGGTCCAAGGTTCAGAACATACATGATTACCCTTACATGAGCTTGCTGTGGGGCGTGGGGGTGAGGGAAGGAGGGGAGGGAGAGGGGGAGGAGGGGGACACAAAGGAGAAAAGATAATATTTGTTCTTTTTCTGCTTCATCAATCGAGTCGCTTGCCTGAGGTTTCCGTCTGAACGCCCTGACGTTGCTGGAGAGAAAACTCTCAACAGACATCTGTCCTGAATACACGACAACGGCCTCATAATCCAGAATTTGACGCTGTTTAATTTTCTGTAAGGCAGTAATCCTAATTTACTAATGGAACAGCTAGCTTCATTTTTTTCTAAATCAACACGGAATTAATACTGTATTTTGAATCAAATGACCAATTTGAGGCCAAAAATAACAACCCTAAAATGACCCAGAAAATATTGTAACATTCATTTAAAATATAGTAAAAGAAAAAAAGAAAAGGAGACCAGAATGAAAACCATATTTAAAGCCAACAATTTGAGGAAAAATACACAAAAAAATACAAATAACCCTAATTTACACCAAATTGGCTGAACTGACATTATATTTTTGATGATAAATTACAATTTGAGGAAAAATACACAAAAAAAGACAAATAACCCTAATTTATAATTTATATTTTCTGTAAACAACATTTATGCTGATTTAGCCTGCGATTGTTTTAGATGCAGCTTCAAACTGTCCAACTGTGTGGTTGTTTCAACACCATGGCCTTTTAGCATCTCTCTATGGTGAGAATCAATTGTGTGGTTCGAGTGTTGACATGTCAGAAGTCAAAACCACAATGACAACCATTTTGACAGGGTAAAAAAAAATCCTGTTGAACAGCAAACAACCATTTTGACAGGGTAAAAAAAAAATCCAGCACACACTGTGCTGCAGCATTTGCTGAAAAAAAAAAGAAAAAAGCCCCACAACAAACCAAAAGCAAAGAAATGTTTCAGCAGTAAGCCAGACAGAGTGGGAACACTTCTCTTTGTGTTCAAGTCCCACACTCCACCAACCCACCGGTTTCTAATTTACAATGTGCAGCATTCGTCTTCCCATTGAAAAGTCGTCCAACTTTCTTTTTAACGGCAGCTGCTACAAGTGTTTTTCAGTCAACAACAACAAAAAGCTGTGGTAGGAGACCCTGAGATGGTAGAAAACAGATACAGCATGAGCCAAATCATTGGTGACAGTACAATGGCGCTACCTGCACAATGGATTCTTTTGGTTTGGGTTGTTTTGTTCACAGTGAATGTTTTAAAAAGAGTTAAAATTGCAATAAACAGAAAAGACATTTTTAAAAAGTGAGATTTCTTTTTCTTTCTTTCTTTTTTTTTTTTTTGCATATTTGCCACTGCAGGGTCAGTTTAGGCAGTTTTAGACAACCCCGCCCCTCGATATGGGCACAAAAATCCCATAATTCAGTGTGGTATGAAATTAACAACTTATTAACTTGAATGTAAGAAATTGTCACAAATGTAAGAAAATACTTTTGTACTCCAACAGTTTTGTTGTTATCAAAGCTGCACCACTAGCTAATTAGCATTAGCTTTTTGAAAGCTTGAATATGGGCAGCCATTGCTAATGTTTATTAGCAATTGTGTTTGCCACATGTAGAGAAATGGTTTGTTGCCGTACTGATATACAGGTAGGAATGTTAGCGCTGAGCTAATGTTCCACTTTGACCACTACCATTGTAACTCAGTTTCAAGGGAAAAGGGCTAATGGTAAAATGGTATAAAGACGGCCCTTAAACACTTTACTATATCACCATGTCAAACCACATCACAGTTTACGTCAAAAACAGTATGAGGCCATTTTTTATCTTACAAATTTAGCTTTCAGCTAAGGTTTTTGAGGCTTATGAAGTCGTTAAGAGTCATGTGTGTTCACCATCCATTTCCATAGACATTAGCTTAGCATGCTAGGCCCCGTTCTGAGGCTTCATAGTTATGACTGAACCTGTGTCGATTAAGTTGTTTTAAATCTTCAAGATCACAAACGAGCCTGTGAACAATTTAATGTTCAACTCGACCGTCACACGTGTGCAGTGTTTTCTTTGGACCAGTTTCAAGAATGTGGTTAGCTGATCCAAATGTGTTGGTTTGTGACTTTGAATAAAAATGAATTTACCAGTAATTAGCTAAGACACTCTTGGCTCAGTCTTGGTTTTTAATTTAAGGCATTTCCTGTAAAAAAAAATCTGCTGTCATTAGTTCTACTTCAACTTCAGCTCAATTCTTTACAGAAAACACTGTAATATTAAAGAGCAACAACCCGCGACAGCCATTGGGAGAAAGTGAGGCAAAAGACCCATCAAATGCTAACATATGCTACATATTGTAGAGCATCGACACGGATATAACTCTGAAGGAAAGCCTTTTGTTTGCAACCAAGAGACCAAGGTAAACTGTTTCCCAAGACGCGATCATTTTCATCGTCATAACTTTAGGATGAAAACAGATCCTTAGAGAAACGTTCAATGTTTTTGATCCAAATTTTTTTGTTTCTCCCCAGAGTTGTTTACAAATGTTTCCCTATTTGTACACATTAACTTTCCATTTTTTCCACACATAATCTATGGTGGTTTTGTATTTGTAAGTGTTTGAAAATACATTAAAAAACCTTTAAAATAACATTAATTTACCATGAAAATAGTTTTGTTTCTTAGAATAAGAACGACATGAAACAATGGCTCAGTTCTCACAGGATACGACATCTACGAAACTTCGTCATCGTAAGAAGTACTTTAACAAAGTTCAAAGCGAGAAGTCGCTGAATAAACAGTTCTGAACATCTCGAATCTAAACATTAAAAAAACAACAACTTTACATCCACAAAGCCATGATTTTCAGTTCCAGACGCTGCTTCTCTCTCTTGAGCTGCACAAATGTCAATGATTTCAGATACAAACACAATCTTTTCATTTCTCTTCAAGAGGCTGAAGGATCCATGTTTGACTCTTTGTTAATGCGATCTCTCGCCGACTCGTTGTTGTTGTGCAGCGGCAGGGGCAGCGGAGGCGGCGACTGCTTGCTCTTCATGCTCCTGCCTTCTGTAGCCGCTCTGGAAGTCTCTGTCACAAAGAGCCGCGTGACCCAAACTGAGGAGACGATACGTTTGTACTCGTTCCTGAAGTTCCTGTTGAGCAGGCCATAGATGATGGCGTTCAGACAACTATTGAAGTAGGCCATGAAGTAGCTGACCACAAAGAGCCACTCTGGGATACGAGGACCCACGCGGGGAGGGTCTATGGCCACCGCCAGCCCGATTAGGTTCAGTGGTGCCCAGCAGATGGCGAAAAGCACAAAGACCACAAACATGGTGATGAAATTCCGCAAGTCACTGGGTCGAAGGCGAGGACTCTCTTCAGTCTTCACTTTACGTCTCACCTGGACACAATGGAAAAATGTGTTAGCGAGGAGGTGCCACAGAATTAGCTGAAGAAACAAAATAGCAAAATGTTTAAAAAAAGATACATTGTAACTAAAGCATGTTAATAAATATAAAAAAAATAAACAGAGAAATTGTTAAAAGTTTTTTTCTTTTTCAAAGTCAGCCAAACACTAACTGCTGAATCAGAATTAGCCAAAAGGTAATGGTTAAAATGTATTATTAAATTCTATTAAATCTTCAAAAAAAAAAAAAAAACTTTGTCAAATATTCATGTTGTTTAGAATATATATTTAATCCAGCATGGACAGGGATTGATATCTCAGCTAGAAAACAGGAGTGTTCGGTCATTTATTACTAAAGATGCTGACTTCATGGTCCAACTACAGTTAAAAGTCCATTCCAGATGAACTCGCCTGCCTTTTTATTTGTTTTCCAAAGCTGGCAGAACTCTCCATGACTCCATGTTTATTTGTCCTTCTCTTTTATTCTGTTCAAGAACAGCTACTATTTATTACAAATCCCCTGGGCGTCTGAAAGGACTTCATTAACAATGCTGAGAATGCAGCGGCACACTTACCTGAATGACAAGCACCCATATTCTAAGATAACAGAAGGTAACCACGGCGATGGGAACCAGGAAGTGAATCACCACCACGGCCACTGTGTAGGAGCTGCTGACGTTCTGGGCGAACGTGCAGGAGTAGACCCTGGGGTCGTAGCGCAGCGACCCCACGAAGAAATTGGGGACGATGGCCACGACGGTGAGCAGCCAAATCAAGGCAACGAACAGCAGCGTGTTGCGGTAGCTGTAGAGGCGACTGTAGGAGAAGGAGTGACAGATGTAGCAGTATCTGTTGACTGCGATCCCTGTGATGTTGAAGATTGAACCAATGACACTGAGGCCCATGAAGAAACCACTGACCTGAGGAGTAAAAAAGAGAGAAATAAAAGTGTTGATTTCGCAGTTGATTTTAGCATCAACACTGAATTAAAAAAAAAAAAAAGTAGCTGTAAATTACTTTACGTCATCACTCAGACTGATGTTATAGACGACAGAACGATGGCATAACAGTGGGAAACGTCACTGGAGTCCAATCAATGGTGAGCATGGGTCAATTATACAAGGTAACCAATCACAGTCTGACATTTGTCCCCATGGTTTCTTCTTAAAATCCAATCTAATTATACTTTGAAAATCAGTGTGAGGTTTGGAATGTGAGTGACACCCAGTGATGTGAGTTACAAATCTGCAGCCTCATCAAAGTTAGTTCATAAATGTATGAAAAAATAAGGGAACATGTTAAATGTTAGCCTTGAGTTTATTGGATGTTAAAAAAATAACCAATTTTTTTTTCTTCAAAAATGTAGTCAAACACTAACTGATTATTATTTTTTAGCCAAAAGGTAATGGTTAGCAGCAGCAAAGCCACATTTCTTTAATAAAAATGCTCATAAATAGAACCTTTACCAGGTCGTAGGTTGTTTTAAAAAGAGTTACTTGTCTGTGGAACTGAATCAGGACTAATGAGAAACACTGGTACTGGCGTGGCCTCACCGTGCACTGGGTGTTTCCCAGGGCCCATCCATCATGGAACAGAGCGTAGAGAACCAGAGGGTACGGGTAGAAGGCCACCACCAGGTCAGCGAACGCCAGGCTCACCACAAACACATTACCTGCAGAGAAACACACAGAAAAAAATCGATGTTTTATTCACCTGCGTGAAATGAAATGACAATTTATCTTCACAGGGCAATTCAGTCACACACACACCCACACACACATAATCACAGCACATTCATTCATCACCCACTCAGTGACACCTGGTGGCTATGAGCATCGACACACAGGCAAGTACAGCAAAAACAACTACGTTTGTCATTTCATCAGAAACATTTAAAAAAGTCTGAAGGACTAAATTAATGACGAACGAAGGAAGTCGTGTCCATAAACACCAGTCCTTAAGTTGCATTCTATTCAATGTCCATCAGGGGGCAATAACACTGGGGACAGACCTAAATTTATAAAAAAAAAAATAAAAAATTATAAATAAGTAAAAAAGTACCGTATAAATAAAGTGAATACAAACTAGGGTTAGGGTTATGTACTAAAAAAAAAAGATGTTTTTTGGAGATTTTGGAAAAAGGTATTATTTACTTCATTATTTATTTCACTGGTCTTTTTTCTCCACAGAAAGGAAAATATATAATGATCTGTGTTTAAAACAGTACTTCCACATTACTGGAAGTGTTAAAAATGCAAAGTTATGCCAAATAACTGGCAACACTGTGGTGCAGTGGTTGGTTTGGTTGTCTCATAGTAATGTTTTTTCAGCAGCCTATCTCAGCTGTCCAGCTTGGAGTGATTGTTGCTTGACTGAGCCCAGAAAACATTTCGGAGGTTTCCGGGCTCTGCCTCACAGATGATTGCTTCACTCCAGACAAAGTTTTATCGGCCATGCCAGTATTTGTGGTTTTGCCAGAGTGGCGGGGGTGGGGGGGT